GCTGTGGCACTTATCCAAAGCAATAAAAGTCAGATCTGGCTTTCTTTGAATATAAGAAGGAGGAAACATTTCAGAAGACGATTCTTTTTCATTATGGGGGGAGCTAGAGGGTGATTTTGTGAAACAACAGAAAAAACAAAATTCAAGGCAAAGAACAGCATGTGGCATGCCTTCATGAAAACAAGAACGATGAGAGTGAAGGATCATAATCTCAGGGTTGCTCCCAGGGAAGGAGAGTCTTTCAAGAGCAGAGCAGAGTCCCAGCTGGTGTGGGTTTTGTGAACAAAATACAATATCTAGTGATAGTATCTAGTAAATGTACATCATTTCACAGAAGCCTTGCTAGTCTCTGTGAAATCCTACTTTGTGCCCAGTTTGGCTGTGAATGTTTTAAGTAACACACTAAAATCCTCTCATTACAGCATAACACAGAATCCAGATGAACCCCAAACATTAATCCTTTCTGGCAGAAATGTTTAATATGCTATATATAATATTTATTTATGCATAAAACAAGAGAATGATCCAGAGAGGATGAATGAACATTTCCCACAAAATTTAAAAGTTAAATCCCCATTATGAGTTTTTGATCAACATAAATATAAGAAGGTCAACTCTTGCAAAAAGATCTGAAGAGCAAAGAAAAGTTGGAAAAATGGTCTTCAAGTCTGCATAAGGGTAGGGAGAATGAGAGCTTGGGAAAATATGTGCCCCACAGTCTCTTTAACATATAGAGCTCGGACTATACAATAATTAAAGCCTGTTTGCAATATTAAAAAGATGATTGGTGTGAGGCCAAATTCCATGTACACTGGCTTCAGGAAACAGTGCCAGATCTGATGAGCCTGTGCCTTGGGCCTTTTTCTTCTCTACCAGTGCTAACACACTGATGCACTAGCCATGTGAAGGCCATAGCTACACCTTGGTGATTCCTCATACCCTGGCACAGATGGGAATTCAAAATGTGAGGAATGAAGGTCCCACCTGGTGGGGAATGTGCATTGGCTATCAGGTTAGCCTTGTTTTAGTAAGACAAACTGCTAATGACCTTAAAACATTCATGTGTTTTTTGGAAAATCATCCCTGATTAAACCCCCAAAGACCTGCCAGTACATAACTGGGACCAGGATCGTCCTGGTGGCTCACAGGAATAACAATGATCTAGAACTCTGCAGCCATCCCCCTTTCTGACACTTCCCAACAGAAATGTTCCACCAGCTAGCTGGAATCTAGGGAGGAAGAAGAGTGTTACAGTGTGTGTCCAATGAAAAGAAGTAGGTGCAGCTCAAATGTCTCCAACTTTCTAGGAACAAATCTACTCAGAACACCAGTCACACCCACAACAATGTTTCTAACTTACATGCCTCATGGATGAGATGATTCTCCAATTTAATTTGTGCTGAGAAGAGCTATTTCCTCCCCAGAGAGTGACCTACTCTTTGTCTTATGCCAAGAAAAATGCTGAACTATAGAGGTGACACATCATGCTTAATCACTACTTTCAATTGAAATAACATAAAATAAAGCCCTCGCTCAGCCACTCAGGCAGAACAAGTTATCCCAAGCACAGACACACCTACTTAGACACTCAAAATTTCTGAGGAGTCTGGTTCCCAGCTGGGTGTTGAGAACAAGCCCATGAGTTGCCCTGGAGAATCTTGGGGCAGGGCTGTTGCAGCATCCTGTGCGTGCTAATGGGAGATTTCCCAAGAACTGTCTTAGCTTTTTCATGCATCAAACTCTAAGAAGCCAAGGTTTGCATCAAGAGCTCATACCCCATCTGCAATGGTGACAGTGGAGAACACCTGCTTACCTTCCAGCATTCCCAGAGCTGACTTCTTACTGGCTACCCAAAGGTGAATAGTTAAGCCAGGTAAGGAGGGGTTGGAGGGCCACTCAGCACAAGGTTTTCTTCTCTTTGGTTTGGCTCACCAAATGAAAACCTCTCAAAAGCATTGCTTTTTTTTCTGGTCTTCTCAAGCAGAATAAAGATGCCACAGCCTCCCATAAAGCTTCAGCCTAGGAAACAGGAGGTTGGCATGGCCTTCTCCAGCATTCTGCAAGGACTGAAAAGGCCTGGGGCCCTTCCCACTGGAGATTTTTCTCATGATGGGAAAAATCTGTCTGTCCTGAAGTAAAAGGATCTCAATAAGTCAAATGGGCTTTCTCAAGTCTAGGGACTCCATAATACTTTTCAAGACCAAATCACCTAAAAATGCTATCCAACACCAACACAACTCATTGACCGCCCACTGACAATGCAAAAACACATCTCTGGAAATGTCTCTTCTGGTTTTTAAAGTCTTCATCTGGTCCATCCTTCTTCTCTGGGTTCACCTTGACCATCTTCCTCTAAGTACTTCTCAACTAGGGGGTGATTTTGTCTTCTCCAAGGAACATTGAACAATATCTGGGAACATTTTTGGTTGTCAAGATGAGAGGCCAGGTGCAGTGGTACACACCTATAATCCCAGTGGCTCGGGAGGCTGAAGCAGGAGGATAATGAGTTCAAAGGTAGCCTCAGCAAGGTCAAGGTGCTAAGCAGCTCAGTGAGACCCTGTCTCTAAATAAAATACAAAATAGGGCTGGGGATGTGGCTCAGTGGTTGACTGCCCCTGAGTTCAATCCCCAGTATTTCCCCCCATTCTTTCAAAAGTTTATAGAATGAGGGAAAAGAGGTTACCAAAATCTCTACAATGCAGAAGACAGTTAACTCACTACAAAGGATTATCTGGTCAAAATATTTGGAGCTGTTGGGAAACTCTTTTCCAGCCATACCAACCTCTTTTTGCTCTCTAAACTTGCCAGACTTTCTCATGAGCTGTTGCTGCTTTTTTTTTGTTGTTGTTTTTTAAGTGCTGGGGATAGAAACCAGGGCTTCATGCATGCTAGATACATGCTCTATCACTTAGCCAAATCCCCAGCCCTCACATGCTTCAGTGCCTAGCACAGGCTAATTCCTTTATCTAGAATACACTGTCCTGCATTCTCTATCAGGAACTTACCATCTAGATCCAATTCAAAATGTCCCCTCTTCTCTATTGCCCTTCCCAAGTACCAGAGTGGGAAGTTCCTTTCTGTGTTTATGGAGCTTCTGGTACTTACTTCATCAGAACATAAAGCCACACTGATCCAAGGTAGTCTGTTACCTGGTAAAACTTTGGTCACCTTGACCAAGTCCCATTTATCAATCCCCAAAGTGCCCATTTGGTAATTAAGTACTGTTTGTCAAATCAATCAGGGAACAAATGGAAATGCTGCAGATGCACCTTAGACTCTCTTATAACTACTTCTAAGAAACAATGCTGTCTCAGGAAAAGAAACAATCTGTGAGGTGAACAGAGAGCCTACATCTTGGGAGCAAATCTTTACCCCTCACCCATCAGATAGACCACTAATCACTAGGGTATATAAGAACTCAAAAAGCTAAACACCAAAAAAAAACAAATAACCCAATCAATACATGGGCCAAGGACCTGAATGGACACTTTTCAGAAGACGATGTACAATCAATCAACAAATACATGACAAAATGTTCATCATCGATAGCAATTAGAGAAATGCAAATCAAAACCACTCTAAGATTTCATCTCACTCCAGTCAGAATGGCAGGTATTATGAAGACAAACAACAATAAGTGTTGGCGAGGATGTGGGGAAAAAGGCACACTCATACACTGCTGATGGGACTGMAAATTGGCACAGCCAATGTGGAAAGCTGTAGGGAGATTTCTTGGAAAATTGGAAATGGATCCACCATTTGACCCAGCTGTCTCTCTCCTTGGTATATACCCAAAGGACTTAAAAACAGCATATTACAGGGACACAGCCACATCAATGTTTATAGCAGCACAATTCACGATAGCTAAACTGTGGAACCAACCTAGATGCCCTTCAATAGATGAATGGATAAAAGAAATGTGGCATACACACAATGGAATATTATTCAGCAATAAAAGAGAATAAAATCATGGCATTTGCAGGTAAATGGATGAAGTTAGAGAAGATAATGATAAGTGAAGTTAGCCAATCCCCCAAAACCAAATGCTGAATGTTTTCTTTGATATAAGGAGGCTGATTCATAATGGGATAGGGAGAGGGAGCATGGGAGGAATAGACGAAGTCTAGATAGGGCAGAGGGGTTGGAGGGGAAGGGAGGGGGCATGGGGTAATTAATGAGGTGGAATGTGATGACCATTATTATCCAAACATGTATGAAGACACAAATTGGTGTGAATATACTTTGTAAACAACCAGAGATATGAAAAATTGTGCTCTATATGTGTCATAAGGATTGTAATGCATTCTGCTGTCATATATAAAAAACAACAGCAGCAGATATTTATCAAATGTTTGTAATGTAGACAGGAACTGTATGAAGGTCTGGTATATACATTAACTCATTTTACCTTTTCAACAACCCTTTGAGATAGGTTCCACTATTATTAGCATTTTACAAATGGAGAAACAGAGGCATTAAGAAATTAATCCACTTGCCAAGGTGGCTTAGCTTTGAAGTCAAAGCCCGAAACTAGAAAGCTAACATCCTTAAAGCTAACATCTGGCAGAGCAGATATTTAATCTCAGAAAGTCTGGCTCAGAGACTCAATCTCCTAATATTCATGCTAAGGCAGTTATACCAACAATCAATCTTTTAGCCACTCAGAAGCCTGTGGAAGAAACAAGTGATACCTTCAGGGATCTATACAACTAGGGAGTGATCACCTCATGTGACTCCATCAGAAACACTTCACGGGGAACAATCATATAATACTCCAACCTCCTCACATGATGGAAAGACACATGTGCCCAGGGAAATCATGATACCATGGGAAAATAGAAATGCTGATTCAAAGTACCTTTTACTGGGTTGAGGATGTAGCTCAGTGGTAGAACATTTGTCTAGTATGTGCAAGGCTCTGGATTTGATTCTCAGTACTGAATTAAAAAAAAATAAACTCAAAACAGATAACAAAAAAGAAAAACCAAAATACCTCTTACCTTGTTCATGCTGCAGGGATGGTAGCAAGGGATCAGACATGTCACAATGCGAGGCAGCTCCTGAAGATCCTTTTTGTTCCTGGAGCCCTCACTTCCTGAAGCTGACAGCTGCACTGTGAACACACACAAGTAGTTCATCAGTCAGTGCTGAGGAAGGCTCAAAGCTAGGATGGCCCCATCCATGTCTGTGCTGTCCAATATGGTGGCCGTGTGTGTGGCTATTGAGCCCACAGTGGCACTACTGGGCTGCAGGGGAAGGCGTTGAGTCTGGCACAAAGTGGTACTGCTCACCTATTTTAAGGAAGTCAAAGCCATAAAGTAGAAATAGCCAATTTTTAAATTGTATGTAATTTTAATTACATTTAAATAGCCAATGTGTTTGGTGGCTACCATTTAGACAGTGCAGATCTAAATATCAAATCTAGAGTCTTGAGGTAGATTGCTAGGTTCTGAGCATGCTAGSGGCTAGCTAATATTGTGTGCATATTAAGACTGCAGATCACAGGGACAAGAACATTCACTGATTCAATAACAATTTTTTTTAATAAGGTCTGGATACTAAGGATTTAGTGATCAATAATACAGAGAGGCCAATGACTTAGGTGTTTCTGCTTGGGCTCTGAACTGCTCAAAAGGGCAAGAGACAAGTGTGTGAGCAGCAGCGCCGGTCCAGACCTCAGTGCAATCTCCTGTTGCTCAGCAGGCACAGAGGATAGGAAGGCACATGCTGGAGCCTGACTATGTCACTGCCCAGGATTAATACATAGAACTACACAGGGCTCCTTGGGAGGCGGTGTTCCAACAGGGAATCCAGGAGGTGAGTTTTTCTTTGGCCAAATGAACCAAACAACCCAGCTCTCCTCAAAATGGAATACAGTCTGTGTTTTCATTGATGGTATTTGTTCTTAACACAGGTTTGAAGTATTTGAATTACATTTTAGAGTAAAATAGTTTATGGTATGGTTTTTGGAGTACTCAATTAATCAAATATTAAAGAAAAAAGAAAGAAAATGTCTCCAACCACTTAAATAGATTTGTAGACTTTTCCTTTGAAAGGTGCTTATGGGCAGACCTGAGAGGAAAACAAAACACTGTCCGCTTCCTTACAGTCACCTGATTTATGCAGTATTTTTTCAGGTTGCTTCTAGGAAAGATTTATATGTCTGAACCTTCCCATGAAAAATAGAATAGGAAGTTTAATTGGAACCCCGGTGCTTTAAAGTCTTTAAATGCATTATTATAATCTTAACAAGATAGAATAGGAAAAGAAAAAAGCACTCATAATCCCTCTAGCTCACCACAACCACCTTTAGCTCTTAGTAATCAGCCTTTGTCTATTAGAGAGTGACATGTTTGTTGAATACAGGACATGGAGAGTCTGCATGTTGATATTCCCCATATTTACATCTTATACTGGCAAGAAAGCAATTCTCCCATTATATTTTCAAAAGATAAATTTCAATTTCATATACATTACTTCTGTGAACATAATATTGTTAATTTTTTAAAAAAGCAAAAAATAGGGAGAAATAATTTCAAACTACTGTAGACAGAGATTCCAAAGAAAATGCCACATTCAGTTACAGCAGTAACACATTTTCACAATGAYGTATGACAAGGAGAATTCTGGAATTCTGCCTCTGGAGCATCAAACATCCAAATATCTCATAAGTACAAGAGATCTGGAAATTCATGGCTACAGAGTCAAGAAAATTTGGTATCTAATTCTAATTCATTTAAGAGGGACTAAAAAAAAAATCAGTACATAACTTTTAGTCTTTGAATTTCCAGAAGCAGATGCCAACGGATTTCTGAGTTTTAAATCAGAACTCTATACATGCTGTTTTCTTCTTCTTAATATAGGTATCTGTCCATTTAAACATTACAGCCTGGTACTTAACTGGAAAACTGTCCCAATGCCTTGCAGATACCCAATGTCACAATTCTGGTTGAATATTCACATTGGTATTAACATAGGAAATGGGCACAAGAAGCTAATAACAAGCAAATGAGGATTCTTGAGCACAGCTGCCCTCAGGGGCTCACCCAGGTCCAACTGTGCCACCGGTCCCCATTCCCTGAGAACACAGTTTGTACTAAACTAATTATGGATCTCTCCCTGTCCCTTACCTAAATGCTCTTGTCATTTTCACATATGTCTATAAACCAGACTAAAATTTCTTTGAGGAAAATATCAGTCACCTAGAATATTCTTAATAAATATTATGAATAGATTTTTAAAATTTTTTTTCTTAACTCTCACAGAACCTAGGATGATATAGACTTTAAACTCTGAATCTTAAAAACAATGATAATCATTGCAAAGATAATCATTGATTATCTTTGGGGTTTTTATTACAAAAAAAAAGAAAAATTATTTAATGCTTGGATTGTAAATCTTTTAAAAAATATTATTAATAATATCAAACAGATGTATAGTATTCAAAACCATACAATATACTCTTAAATATGGGCTGGGGTTGTGGCTCAGTGGTAGAGCACTCACCTCGAATGCCTGAGTCACTGGGTTCGATCCTTAGCATCACATAAAAATAAATAAACAAAATAAAGTCACTGTGTCCATCTACAATTACAGAAAAAAAATTAATTTTCTCATTTAGTATGATGTCAGTCTGAGTGGTAGTTTTCCTAACCTGACACAGAGGGGTTAAAAAGTTCTTCCTGGTCCTGCTGTAAAAAGCAGAAGACCCTGGGACAGAAGTGACTTCATTTCAAGGTACTATGGAATTGGAACAAGTACAAAGACCACAAATGAAAGATAAACCCAACCTTCCCTGCCACCAATAAAACATACATTCCCCACAAAGACCACCATTAAAGAAAACACCTCAGAGAACAGATGACAGTTTTAGAAAATGGGTCAGTTTGCTTCTGGACAGCAACCAGAAAGACTGGCCTCCTTCTATCAAGTACTTTCCATCTCTTTTGAAACARAGAGAACCTGGTTGTCTTGTAGCCAATTTAGTTTATGAAGAAGCACAGAGAAATCAAYAGCTTAATAAATCAGTCTACATCTTGAATACAAAGCATCAAGGGAAAAGATCCCTGAGTTGCCGTGGTAGATAAGGGTGTTTTGTTTTTATTCTATTTTTCAATGTTTCTTTTGAATCTTTTAAGAAGTTGGAGTTTGGGTACAGAACAAAAAGGAAACACACTTTCATTTAAAGGGTGTCTTGAGAAAGCCAATCCTATAAGCCAACATGTGACTTCTACTCAGTTGATCCTAATTGTGTTGGCTCAATGAGCAATGAAGCCTGTGGCAACCATAGGTTTCTAAAAGGTTAATGGAATGTAATTCTTCTTTTGAAAGAAATAGAAGAAGAATGGGTAAGCAGGCAGGTCAAAAGAGAGCATAAGAAGAGAAGAGGGGCTTAGGGTGTTGTTCAGTGGGTAGAGTGCATGGCCAGTATGCATGAGGAGCTGGGTTCAATTCCAGCACCAAAAGAAGACAACAAAAAGAGAAAAGAGGGGAATGGGAGGGTTTACCAAGAGGAGGAAAGTAAAGATCGATAAACAAACAAAGACACCTACAGACAGTTTTGGTGATATGGCCAAGTGCCCCTCACCAGCCAGGTCCTCGCCACGACAGAGACCCAGAGCTTCAGTCTCCTGGTGACAATTCCACATCTTTTGGCGTCTCTAGAGTTCTATGCTCTCGTGGCTTGGGCGTTAGCAAGTGGGAGTTGGAGAAAAGAGAAGACTGGGCCTACCTGTTTCACCACTACTTATTTACTATCAACCTCCACCTACCACAGAGTCTGTTTTACCTGGATCACTGCTCAGGTGGTTTAGAGGTATGATGAGAATCACATACACCAACTTTATTCTAGCCTCCCGACTCTAAGAGATGCTTAAAAGTATCAAGGACTGTTTTCTTTGTGTGCCATGCCTTGCCCTTGCAAATGCAGCTGATACTTATTGCCAACAGAGAATGGAATATGATGACGTGGGCTCTTCTCTCCATTCCAACTCCCCACTCCCTCCTGAGAGGCTAATTCTGTACTTTTTAAAAAAATATATCTCAAAGCTGTGTAGCCCAGGCACTCCAAAGAGGTATACCCAGCAAGTCACTCTTCACAACGTCAAGGTCACTGGCTTTTAAAAAAACATGATATATCCCGAGACCAGTCTGTGGAATGGACTCCTGTCCCTCCTCTTCCTGCCAGCAGCTTAAGTAAAGGGCTGGAGCATGAGGACTCATGCCAGATCCAAGGGTTTGCAGTGAATTAACAAAGATCTTTGGAGAGAAAGGGCAAAGAAGTGTATAGAGGAAATGCTCAAAAATCTAGGATTTAGGAGCTTGGGGAATCATATGAACAGGTAAGGGGAAAAAATCCCCAATTTTCTCCATCCTATGTTTAGGTCTAGAATAATTCACTTGACTCAGAAGTCAATTCCTGATAACTTTCAACTGGAATCCTTGTCCAAGACTAAATAAATGTAGGCCATTTAAAAAAAAAAAAATAGAAATCTAGTTCAATCTCTTTTTTCCAAAATAAGGGGCATGGTGCTAGGATTAATGACCCAAAGACAAAGGAACAAAAAGACCCAAGTTCCTACCCCAAACACACATGTCCCAAGTCACTGTCTCATTCCTTTTTTTCCCCAAAAAAGAGGCAGAAAACCAGGGTAGAGTCGCCGGGAATTTCTTGCAAGTCCTTCTCTATCCTCCAAGTTACAAGCTGTGGTCTTGCAGGACCTCAGTGTCCTCACCATCCCTGAGGCAGCAAGCAACACAACATGGTTCTGACCCAAGAGGCTGGACAATGTCTGCCATCTGCCTTTCTCCCCTGTGCTCTACCTTCACAGCACAGCGCAACACAGAAAACACACATCCTAAGCCGGAAGGATGAGAGCATCTTCCCACCAACTCATCAAAGTCCTTCTTCCCCAAGGGTAGGGTAGGTGATACRAAAATTAGTATTCTGAATTTTAACTAATATATATGTTATGGTTCAATAGGAAATTGTGATTAAATAAAGAGTAAATGAGAGGGTTTTTTTTTTTTTCTTTGAACACAAATAAACTGGTCTAAGAGCCAGAAAAGGATGAATTAAAGGCAGTAAAGGGCCAAGAGTGCCGGGGACTTTCA